ATTAACCCCTCCATGGATTAACTCATTCATGAGAGCAAAGCCCTCAAGACCCAGTTATCTCTTAAAGGCCCCACCTCTTAGTATTGTTACATTGAGGATTAAGTTTCAACCTGAGTTTTGGAAGGGGAAAGCATTCAAACCACAGCCGTCATCCCAAAAAGAAATCCCCTAACCATTAGCAGTCACTCACCATTGCCCTCTACCCTTAGATAACCACTAATCCTTCTTTTTCTATGATTTTTTTTTGGCTTTGACTTAGCGTAATGTTTTTAGGGTTCATCCAGCTTGTATCATCATTGCTTTATAGGGCCAAGTAATATTTCATTACGCAGATATCCACATTTTGTTTATCCATTCATCAGTGCATGGACCTTGGGGTTGTTTTTCCTCTTTGGCCATTGTGAATAATGCTGCTGTAAACACGTGCCTAGAAGTTTTTGACAGTGTGCTCTCCGTTCTCTTGCGTATATACTTAGGAGTGGTGTTGCTGGGTCATGTGGTAACTCCACACTTAATTTTTTTAGGAACTCCCAAGCTATTTTTCAATGTAGCTTTACCATTTTACATTCCTACCAGCCCGCATAAGAGAGCTCCAGTTTTTCTACCTTCTTACCAGTACTTTTTACTGCCCATCTTTTTTATTATAGCTTTCCAAGTGCATGTGAAGTGATACCTCATTGTGAATTCAATTGGTATTTCCTTAATGATTAATGATTTTAAGTAGTGCTCATAGGCCATTTGTAGATCTTCTTTGGAAAAATGTCCGTCCAGATCCATTGTGCCACTTTTTAACTGGATTGTCTCTTTATCATTGAGTTGTACGAGTTTCTTACGTATTCTGGATATAGCGCCCTTATAAAAGATATGATTTCTATAGATTTATGCCTTATTTTCTTTTAACAGTTGTATAGTTTTCACTCTTATTTAGGTCCCTGATTTGTTTTGAGTAGATTTTTGCATATGGTATAATGTAGGGGTCCAACTTCATTCATTTGTTTTGAGATAGCTAGTTCTCCTAATACCAGTTGTTGAAAAGATTATTCTCATCTCACGCCAGTTAGAATGGCGATCATTAAAAAATCTGGAGACAACAGATGCTGGAGAGGATGTGGAGAAATAGGACACTTTTACACTGTTGGTAGGAATGTAAATTAGTTCAACCATTGTGGAAGACAGTGTGGCGATTCCTCAAGGACCTAGAAATAGAAATTCCATTCGACCCTGCAATCCCATTACCTGGTATGCATCCAAAGGATTATAAATCATTCTACTATAAGGACACATGCACATGAATATTCACTGCAGCACTGTTTACAATAGCAAAGACCTGGAATCAACCCAAATGATAGACTGGACAGGGAAAATGTGGCACATATACACCATGGAATATTATGCAGCCATCAAAAACGATGAGTTTGTGTCCTTTATAGGGACATGGATGAACCTGGAAACCATCATTCTCAGCAAACTGACACAAGAACAGAAAATCAAACACCGCATGTTCTCACTCATAGGCGGGTGTTGAACAATGAGAACACATGGACACAGGGAGGGGAGCATCACACACTGGGGTCTGTTGGGGGGAAATAGGGGAGGGACAGTGGGGGGTGGGGAGTTGGGGAGAGATAGCATGGGGAGAAATGCCAGATACAGGTGATGGGGAGGAAGGCAGCAAATCACACTGCCATGCGTGTAACTATGCAACAATCTTGCATGCTCTTCACATGTACCCCAAAACCTAAAATGCAATTAAAAAAAAATTCCATACCTGAAAAAAAAGAAATTAAAAAAAAGAAAAGAAAAGAGTATTCTTTCCCCATCAAGTTGTCTTGGTGTACTTGTTAAAAATCCACTGACCATCATGTAATGGTTTATTTCTGGACTCATAGTTTTACTCGTTGATGTAGATCTGTCCAACTATCTTGAATACTGTATCTTCATAGTTAGCTATGAAATTGGGAAATGTTCTTTTTCAAGATTGTTTTGGCTATTCTTGGCCTCTTGAGTTTTCATATGAATTTTAAGATCAGCTTATCCATTTCTAAGCTAGCTGAGATTCTTATATGTATTGCATCAAATCAATCTGGAGACTATTGCCATCTATAAAATACTATTTCTTCTGATCTATGAACGTGGGATATCTTTCCATTTATTTGGATCTTCTTTAATTTCTTCAAATATTTTGTAGTTTTTTGCATACAAGTTTTGCATTTATTTTATTTTATTTTATTTTTTTGAGACAGTCTCACTCTGTTGCCCAAGCTGGAGTGCAATGGTACAAACATGGCTCACTGGAAACCCAGCCTCCAGGACTCAAGTGATCCTTCTGCCTCAGCCTCCTGAGTAGCTGGCACCACAGGTGTGTGCCATGCCTGGCTAACTTTTATTTTATTTTATTTATTTTTTTAAATTAAGACAGAGTCCCACACTGTCACCCAGGCTGGGGTGCAGTTGTGCAATCTTGGCTCACTGCAACCTCTGCCTCCTGAGTTCAAACAATTCTCCTGCCTCAGCCTCCCGAGTAGCTGGGATTAGCCCACCACCATGCCTGGCCATTTTTTTCCTTTTTTTTTTTTTTTGGTAGAGACAGGGTTTCATCGTGTTGGCCAGCTGGTTTTGAACTCCTGACCTCAAGTGATCTGTCCACCTCAGCCTCCCAAAGTGCTAAGATTACAGACATGAGCCACTGTACCTGGCCAAACTCTTTTTATTTTTACTTTTTGTAGAGGCAGGGTCTTATTACGTTGCCCAGGCTGGTCTCAAACTCCTGGGCTGAAGCCATCCTCTCACCTCAGCCTCCCAAAGTGCTGGGATTATAGGCAGAAGCCACTGTGCCTGGCCTATTCCTGAGTATTTTGTTCTTTTTTACACTATTATATATGAACTTGTTCTCTTAAGTTTGTTTTTGGATTGTTCTTTGTTAGCGTATGGAAATACAATTGATCTTTGTATGTTGATTTTATGTCCTGCAACCTCTTCTCAATTCATGTATTGGCTTTAGTGATGTGTGTGTGTGTGTGTGTGTGTGTGTGTGTGTGTGTTCCTTAAAATTTTCTACCAGTAAGATCATGTCTTCTGTAAATAGAAGAGTTTTATTCATTTTAGATGGTTTATCTAAGGAAGGAGAGAATGCTCCTCAAATAGAGATAGACTCTAAGAAAGAAGAAAGCAGATACTTTGTAGTTATTACTTTAAATTCAGCCTTAGAACTTTTAATTTGTCCAGCTCCGTAAGGACAGCCTCATATAAAATGTGTTTAATCATTTATTAGTTATATTTTTATTTTTCTGGGCAGAAGGAACAATTAAGGGATAAAGGTTTTATATTTTTAAATCATGACTCAGCCATGAGTCAGGAATTGCTTATGTTCAAATCCTGCCTCCTTCATTTATTAGCTAACCTTAACTGCTTTGTACTTCATTTTCTCACCTTTAAGATGAGAATGATACCAGAGCCTACTTTTAAGGTTGTTATGAAGATGAAATGAGTTCACATATGATTCTTAGTATCTGGCTGTATAAATGTGAGCCATTGTCGGTATTAGTTGGGCAACAACCAGACCAACTTATCTTTTTGTTGCCTTTCTTAGTGTCTATGCCAACGTGGAGAAAACCTGGCAGAGCTTATTGTGATGGTAGCTATGACTCATTACTTAATGGCAGTCCGCTCTCCTTCTAGTCTCAGTAGGGATCACCAGGGCCAAGGAATAGCAGTAGTTGGAGTTGTCAGAGTCGAGTCTCAATGTAATGGAACCCATAGTGCTTGTTGGCAATCATTAAACACCAGAAATATCTGTTTTGTTTTTTTGGTTTGGGTTGGGTTGGGTTTTTTT